CAGCACTTCACATTGCTGCTAATCCGGTTTTCCACGAACGCACGAAGCACATTGAGATTGATTGTCACTTCGTTCGTGATGAGCTCTTGCGAGGAGAGATTCGTACACTTCATGTGCCTACTACGCATCAGCTTGCAGACATTCATACAAAGGCACTCGGAAAGTCACGCTTGGAGTTTCTTCTTCCCAAGTTGGGCATTTCGTTACTACATGCTCCAACTTGAGGGGGGTGTTAAAGGAAAGAGAATATTTGGTAGAATATTTGGAGATATTTGTGTATATATTGTTTTGGTAGTTTTCCTTGTATAGGGATTCTTTCCTTTTCCTTTTCCTTTACTTATTAGGAGTCTCAACTTGTGAGATCCTATATATAGGTCCTCATTGTAAATTGTATGGACAAGAGATAAATACATAGAATTTCCTCCCAAATAATTCTTTCAATAATCACGCCTTTTTGAAATAGTGTTTTTGTATATGATAGGAAGAAGCAATCTCAAAACCCAAATATGGGTTGTTGTTTTTTCACCCGACATAAATTGATTGTAGGTTAAATTTCATCGCTTTATCCCATCGTTAGCACTAACAGGAGTTCAAAGATAAATACTCCGTACAAAACACAAACACTAAAAGGATTTAAGAATACATAAATTTGTCATTCGTGCATTTAGTTATTTTAGAGAAAAATGCTAGATTCACATACACAAAGGTTACAAAACGCGCAATCTTGTTGTATATGCACCTCCCCGAGAAAACAAAATGATTTTAAAGAATTAAAAAAAATAACAGCTGAAACGTGGCAGAATTTCAGTGGATCGAACATGTCATCCAGGGTGGGGCGTCCAAGTTGGACGCCCCAACATAGACGCCCCGGGTCCGTCCCCTAATAAAAACAGCGCAAACCACACTTCCAAACATCACATTCCATTCCAATTTCGGGTTTCACCTCTCCTTTTCTCATTTTAGCTTATAGATTAGTTATAGTGGTAAAGTTTTGAAGTATTTTCAGAGATTCCAACTCCAAATTTGTTATGTTCCGCTTGTTTGGAGTATGTAAATTTTCCCTTTTAATATAATGATGTTTTAATTATTTTGCATAGTATGAGTTAAGGTCCAGACCTTAACTCATAGATTAGTCATATACTTTGAATGTTTAGTTAAAGTTGGAATGATTATCCTGAAATTGTTCTCTCTTTATTTAGTTAATTAATATTAATAGATTTAACTAGCTGTATATTGAAAAATATTATACACCGTAAGGTTATCATATTCAAGACAAACAAGGTAATTACGAATCTTATTAAAGGGTGAGTAATAGTAGAAATACGATCATTCCATGATATAGTTATCCCAAATGATGTGCTGATCCTAGGTCCAGACCTTGCTTATAGTATGTGAAATTTATTATTTATGCATTACCCCCTCCGTCCTAAAACTTTCTTCCCGGTTCGCAAAACAAAGAAAAATCCCAAATTTTTTCAATCTATACCAATATTTAAATAAAATAGATTGAAAAAATATTATTTTATTTAATATATCAATTTTTTCAATTTATACCAATATTTAAATATTAGTATAGAAATAAAAAATAAAAAATAAAACATACATATTTAAAAACTACATCAAAAGTTCAACAAAACAAGTGGTGACAAGAATATTTTATTTTATCATATAGGCTATGAAAAAATACAAATAAATATAAATTCCCGTAAAGTTGGAATAGTGCTCTGGGAAGAAAGTTTTAAGACGGAGGGGGTACTTCTTTTTATCCATTTCTAGAAGATTTTCATAAACCTGTCCAAACCTTCGCTTAGTTAGAGAAATTAGTTAATTCCTTCATCCACTCCTCAAGGGACACAACACTCAGAGAGAAAACGAACCCTTCACTAGGAAGGTTTGATACCAGAAAAACTACAAATCATTGCCCAAAATCTCTTTATAAACATCCTCTTTCTTCTCCTTTTTCGTTCACTATACATCTGTTGTCCTTTTCCTTCCCCTTTTTATTTGAGCCCACTCCATCATCGTTACCGACCATGTTTGGGAGTGAACCAGTTTCCTTAGACCTTTCTACGGTGAACCCTTCATCTTCCTTAGAGACCATCAGTCCTCCTCGATCTGTTAACTCGAACAATTAAGGAGGACTTGGTCTATTAGAATTTGGCGAGCATTTTCCCCGCCCCCGGCTTCCCATGGTTAATCCCCCTCCTATCCCATCATACCCCTATGAAAGTTCCGGAGGATGCCTGGTACAATGATCGTCTGATACTTAGAAATTGTGTTCACTACACTTCTAATCAGGACTGCTAAGAAGGAACCGAATTGATACCGAATTTTCTCGAAAAAATCAAGAATACCGAACCGAAAAAGTACCGAGAAAAAACTGAACCGTACCAAACTGAATGGTCGGTATGGTATTTGGGAACGCTACGAGGTGACGTCCCATACCGAAAAATCCCGAACCAAACATATATACTAAAATATTATAAAAATAATACCCCGGAGTAGTATTTTTATATTCCTTCATTAATTAATAATTTTTTTTAAAAAATTGGTTCAAGTTTTTGTGTATGAACATAAAAGTATTCACAAAGATTCGAAATACTCTTTTAGTTTTGTTCATTTTTTAGTTTGTGAAATATAAACTAAGTTTTGATACGTCTCTCTTGCATTTAGATATTCATATTTTTAAATTTTTCATGATTTTTTAATTTAAATTCACTTTTAATTTTCAAAAATAAAGGACATTGTTAAATTTTAAGGTGTAAAGTAGGTATGTATATTCATCTCGATTTGTACCGAAACTGATACCGAACCATCCCGAATCATACCAAACCGATATTTCGGGATCGAAATTGGTACGGAATAAAATTCTATATGGAAACTAGGGGTGGGCGCGGTCCGTGATGGTCCGTGATACTACCGGAACCTATCACGGAGCGCTATTATTTAAACGGTTCGGTATCGGTACGGGATGAACTACAAAACCATTCGGTACCATTCCGTTTTGAAAAGGAACAGTACAATACCATACCCATGCTCAAACCGTGCCAAAAAAATTAACGTACATTACTTAAAGAATATTGCATTTAATATATAAATTTGTATAAAAAAGCACAAGAATGTTAAATAAAAGTATTCATTTCAAATTTAAACGGATCATAAACATAAAGAATAGAAGATAACGAGTCCAAAGTTAAAAAATAATTTTTTCCCAATTCATATAATATCGGAATACTAATAACTATAAAAAAATAATGCCAATAGTAATGATAAATATAATAACAACAATAATAATGAGAGATTTTAAAATGAATAATAAAATACGAAGTACTCTATTCACGGTAAGATGAAGTAGACAAATACTCCATAATTATTTGAGATACGTACTCCATATATAACGTTGGATGGTTCGGTCCGTGATAATCAGTTTTAAATATTTGTATCACGGTCCCATCCCATTTGATCGG